TGTTTTAGAGCAACAAATTGCTTAATACATGTTGATGTTGTATAACATATACAACAACTGATGTTAGCTCTTAAAGAAGATGAATAAGTAAACAAGAATCTTGATACAGGAGGCTAAAGAACATTTGCCTTTTGGCAATAAAGAGTAACAATAGCCCCATATAAAAGAAGTGCCACGAGGCCCTAGAAGGTCTCAAAGAATAAGAAAATCAGATATTTCTGATGACTAAGAAGTCAATGTTAAGAAAGAAATTCAAATAGAGGGTAATTCCACCTCATTTGAAAAGCCATGAGAGGCGTTCACTCGTCTAAATGGCAAGAAGCAAAGGAAGATGAAATGAAATCGATAAACACCAACGATGTTTGGGACTTAGAAGAAATTTCCAATGGAACCAAAACAGTAGGCTGTAATGGGTCTACAAGACAAAGATGACTCCAAAGGGAATATAGAAAGATATCCAAAGGGAATATTGAAAGCTATAAGCCGCCACTTGTGGTGAAATGATTTACACAAAGAGAAGGAATAGATTATAATGAGCAAGCAAGGATTCTTTTAGAATCATAATGGTGTTAGTGGCACATTACGATTTACAGTTACATTAGAAAGATGTAAAGACACATTCCTCAACGGGGATTTGTATGGAAAAGTTTGCATGGCATAACTCAAAAGGTTTTGTCGTGGAAGAAAAAGAATGTAAGGAATATTGCCTGAAGAAATCCATTTATGGATTAAAGCAAGCTTCAAGACATTGGTGCTTGAAGTTTGACAGTACAATAAGAAAGTTTGGGTTTTAAAGATAATGTAGAGGACAATTGTATTTATGCAAAGTTTATACATGGGAAATTTATTTTCCTAATCCTGCATGTGGGTAGCACCTTACTCGCTAGTAGTGGTGTTAATCTACTGTTGAAGAAGAAATAGTTCTTGTCCTCAAATTTCAATGAGAATGATCTTGGTAAAGCGTCATTCGTTCCAGGAATTGGAACTTACCGAGACAAAAGGAAAAGGGGTATTAGAACTATCTCAAGTGTATACTTAGAGAAGATTCTAAAGAAATAAAGTATATATGTGAGTAAACTTGCGCCTGTTTCTATAGTAAAGGGTAATAGTTTTCAGAACTTTCAGTGTTCCAAGAACGAATGTGAGATCGATCAAAAGGACGTCCTATATGCTTCAGCTGTTGAAAGCTTAATGAATGCTTATAAGTAAGAACTTACCCTGACATAGTTTATGTATCCGGGATGTTTTGGCAGAAATCCAGTCCAGATATAGATCACTGGAATGGAGTTGAGAATGTTTTATAATTGTGCAAAGATTTATAGGCCTCATGGTGAGTAAAAAAGAATAAGTACTCTCAAATAGTTGTGGGTACAAATATTAAATTTTGGCGAGATGTTTAGTGAAACTCACATAGTAGCTAACACTCGCAGTTGGAGTTTTATTGTGGAAAAGCTCCAAAGAAACAGTTGTGGTGTCATCAAAGATGCATACCCACAGTATAGCTTGATATGAGGCTTAAAGGACAGACGAAATGGTTAAAAGAACTTACACCCGGAATTGATAATGGTATACAACAGCAATAACCATTTAAGTAGTTCGCTCATATAACAACGGATCAAGTGTGCTGCTAAACACATTGACGTTAAAGTTATACGTTGTGAAGGAGAAAGTCCAGAATCATACTAAAAGTATTGAATATAAAAGTAACAAGCAAGTGCTTGCGGATCCGCGTACAAAAGGCTTACCACCCCATTTGGAGAACACACAGTTGACATGGGTTTATGGTATAGCCTATGATTTCCAGACAATAAAGGGCCCAAAAGTTAAAGAATCTGTTTCAGAACAGAGACGTGTATTGTAGCTGTTAAGTCTATCGGCGATTGACCGTGACGATGAAGCATGCTCTATGCACTAATCCGTGATGGAACAAATAAAAGTGAAAGGGATTAAAGTCAAAGTTTAAAGTTAAAGTATGAGTTGAGATCAAGGGGGAGAATGTTAGAATTGATCTCATCCGTCTTAACCCAACGGTCGAGACGGACCCCTTGACTGCGTCCTGATTGGGGACGTCCAGCCATCTAATGGCTGGTGGGCCCCCGTCGCACAGTGCCTATAAAGAGGAGGTGGGGTAAACGGCTCGGGATACGAGGTTCGCCGCCGCCAGTCACCCCACCGTCCTAACCCTAATCCGATCTAGAGAGGGGGCGCTGCCAACGGCGGGAAGCACCACCGGACCGCCGTAGCTCCACCCCGCCGGGACTCCACCACCTCTACACCGTCACTGCCACACCGCCACTAACACCGACGCCAAGGACTCCTCGAGCTCGTCCACCAAGCCCGACGGTCTGTACCTCTCCCTTTCTCCTCTCTCACTCTCTCTGGATCCATGTGTTCTAGTTCTTTCATACCGAATGGAAGTCAAAATACTCACTGATCTACTCCTAGTCGATCCAAAAGAACTAACACTTTCCACTCCCTAAGTAGCAGCCAAAATATCACTGTTGTTATCCAAGATCTCGTATCTTGATGTATGATTGCCTCTAGTGCTATCTAAAGATGAACTTGTTGTAATCCCACAAGCATATAGTGGAACAAGATTTGGCTGGCTTGGTCCCGTGGTTTTTACCCCAATTTGGGGGTTTTCCACGTTAAATCTGGTGTCTTATTATTGCTGCGAGTTTGACTGAAACTAGTTGCGACTGCAGTTGCAATTGATTTGCCGCAACTAGTTGTGCTTGCTGTTGGTGCTGTTGTGATTAGTTGCAACCAGTTGCAACTACGGTTGATGTGAACACAGCTGATTAGAACCAGTTGTGACGGCTTCTGATGTGATAACAATTGATTGGGACCATTTGTGACTGCCTACTATTTCCTCCATATATATGTGTGATGCATATGTTTTCTTCCGTGAATAGGTGACGATCTGGACTGATTTCGCATTGTGGTGAAATTAAGCGCTTCCGCTGTCACTAGCAAGTGTGTTAGTGTGGTTATCCCAACACCGTGCATGTATGCATATCAATCAAATACAGGTGCATTTTGGAAATGAGCGCAAAGATTTCTCATTTTCTGTATTTTGGAGTAAAGCAGTACAGTGCCCCACCCCCAGCTCCATCAACTCGTTGGCCATCGATGATCTTTGTTGAATGTTTCAAAGAATCAGAAAATTTCAAACATTTTCTTCAATTTCAGAGTTGAATGGGTCACAGCCAATCAACACATGAAATTATTACGAGGAAATAGACAGCTAAACCACTCCCGTATGCATCGAGAAACTTTTCAATATGACACTTGACTTAAGACAGCTAAACCACTCCCGTATGCATTCGGCTAATGGTTTCTGCGGCTAATAAGCCAGCTAAAGCTGATTTATTGTGAGAGAAAAATACTATAACATGACTGATAAGTTCAAACGAACAGAGCGATATACTAATAATTTATATATATATATATATATATATATATATATATATATATATATATATATATATATATATATATACACACACACACACACACACACATATGAGAACAAATGGTTGATATGTGTCCATATGTTGAGTGATGATGTCAAAGAGATGGTCGAGCTTTGGTTCAGTTTGTGCGGGACTAACCAGGGCGTGAGTTAGTGTATGCAACATGTCTATTGTCTTGTGGGTGTGCAAGTGTTGAGCGTGTCATAGCAGCAGACGTCAATGGAGAAGGTTAAGCAAGAAGTTCATAAGCAATGGACCAGAAGCAGTGAATGATGGACACGAAGACATAGGCTGAGGGACCGTGGAGGGCTAGCACTTGGACATATTAGCAAGCAAGCGTCAAGAGAGGATGGTGATAGAGACGATGTTAACCGAAATTATTACAGCAAGTGGACCAAATCAAGGCGAGGCGGCGATCATTGGAGCGGAGGAAGCGGCGCTGAACGAAGACGGCAAGATGACAGGAGTGAAGGGTCATGGAGTAGAGCCGCCGAGGGAAAAGAGAAAGGATAACCAGAAAAGAAAAATTAGGGATGGACACGCACGAGACGTTTGCGTGGCACAATGAAGACCACACTTTGGAGCGTGTCAAGTGTCAACACGCACCACTGCGTACAGCTACACGGCAGGAATTCAGGAAGGGAATGGCGCGCCGTATGCAAACAATGCGTTGGAACGCTGGGAGCGGGCGGATACTACACGTGATATGGATTCTCATGTACATGAGAACGGAAAGACCACTATATAATCCCATATTCCCATGCACGACGACGAACTGCTCAAACCATCAAGCAGATTAGCAGATAAAAAAAAAAACAGAGTGAAGAGGGTGCTTCAGGCAAGCAAAGATGATCACTACCGGAGCTCCAACAGCGGCCACTCAGCCTACTATGCGATGTTCCTCCTGGTCCTGGTCGCGCTCTCGTCTCCCACATGGCGTCTGCTGTCCGCCCCGGCATGTGCAACCGCAGCGGGTACCTCCCGGGCCGATCCAGCACTGTGAGAAGAGCAATGACCCAGTATAACAGAGCATATGGAATAAATAGAGCATATGAAGCTAGCAATGCGCGTGAGCAGTTCAATTCCACACATTCTAACATCATGGCTGGTGCGAATCGTGACGTACTAAGCATGTGCCAGTATAACTTATATATAGTATAAATATCATATCACAGAGCATATATGCCAAAGGGCAGTTCAATTCCACACATTCTAACGTTGAGTTGTTGGGACTGAAATATTCCACAGAAAGCTCACTGAGCAGTTCAGAACTGTGAAATATTAAGCAGAATTACACTCAGGCGAATTTAAGTCTTGTAGCAATTTCAGTATTAAGCATGTAATTAGCACATTAGCAATTTCAACAGAATAATAGATTTGAAATCGAATAAGACATGAGCAATACAGAGGGTTCCATGATGATAATTAGCTAATGTGGCTGCTCGATGGGTTCCGTTAGTGTTACATACATAGTAGTATGAGGCTGGTTCTTCAGCTTTGAACCAATCCCAGCTATCTCATACCTCACACCGCTTCTACAAGCCTTTCCCGAACTGAATTCTGATCTGTTATAGGTTCAATGCTGCAAATGAAAAGAAAATATATCTCAGTATTTCGTGAAAATCTAAAAACAAAAAAAGGATGCTTGCTAGTATTACCAAATGAAACTTGCCTGTAAAGTATTTCTCCTCCATTTATCACCTTCTTAGATATCCAATCAGGAACTAGATCCTCTAAAATATGCAGCTGCTCTTCTACCTCTCCTATAAGTAAAGAAGATGATATAATCAGCATTGCTCACAAAATAACAAGTGTAAGTTGGAGTTGTTATACTGGTCATCATTACCCATCTGTTCTATCTCCAAGTTGTTGGCAAGAATATTGTGGAAAAGTTCTTGTTTTGTAATTAACGAATTCTTGGTAGAATAAGAAATATCGCAGACAATGTCAAATGTGGAACGTAATGAAGCCATCTTTTCCTGGGTACCCACTGGGTCAGCCAGATTGATTTTGTCTTTATCAGTAAAGAAGACATGATCATTCTCCTTCAAGGAAAAGGGTCATATGGTCAGGAAATAACCGATAGACAAATGAACATTGTAGAATTGTTCAAGTCTTCCAACTTTTACAATAAAAGAAAAAAAGGGCAGGAAGCAAGAAATCTATTAGTCATACACCATGCCATACCTAGAAAATTAAGAGTACTTTTTTTCTATAGTGAATTTCTACAGGCAAAAAGAGAAACTGTCATCCTGGGTACGACTGTACCTTAGCGCATAAAATTTCAAGTTATGTAAGAATATCAAGTTATGTAAGAATAAGATATTGTGGATTATTAGTAGTCCGATGGCTGGCTTGTTTCTACAGCATGAACAACTGCACTGCTAACATTCTAGGTATTATTGAACCGTTGTGTATTCATGTTCCCTTAATTGCACAATTAAATGCAGAAATAGCTATCCATGTTCTGTTAATTGCTAGGTTTTTCACAGCAATCCAGGCACAAGCATTTGTTTCTAGTTTATGTTATTGACTATGGCATCTCTGATCTTGTAGCATGCAATTATGTGCTGATCCATACATAAAAAGATAAATACAATTCTATGTGATGGACGGAACACAGCAATCCAGGCACAAGCATTTGTTTCTAGTTTATGTTATTGACTATGGCATCTCTGATCTTGTAGCATGTAATTATGTGCTGATCCATACACAAAAAGATAAATACAATTCTATGTGATGGATGGAAATCAAGATACCTCTAATGACTTGTTGAAACTAGATGAGTCTTCTGAGAAAATTCCCTTTTTAGATGTAGCCTCATGTTCCATTCTATCATGATAAGAAGGGCTTCCTCCTTCAAATTTTAAAGATGTATTTAGTGATCTGAGGGCAGAACTGGCTGAACGTGGTTCAGAAATGTGTCCACATGTGGCCTCGAGTTTCTCAAGTGGAGTTGGCAATGGCCTTTTGGGTGTCTGCATTGCTGGTGTTTGAGCCAACAATGGTGACTCTGAGGTCTCTTGTTTTGGCGTACCCTCTTGACAACAAGAGATCGAATGACGACTTGGAGTAACAGAAATTTCAGAGTTCACTGTAACTGAAGCATGTTTGTCTTGCTTTTTAGGGCTTCTGTTTGTTCCTTCTGTATCATAAGCACTCACAGAGTTCAGTTTTGTTGGATCAGGTAGCAATTGAGTCTTTTCAGCTCCATCAGTAATGACTTTCTGGGACATTAGCTTTTGAAAAGATTGTGGAAAGTGGGAAGCATTTGAGAATCCATCCTCAGTTGTGCCCTGCAGATGTGGCTCAGCAGCATGCCCATTCTGTGATGCCTCAAGATATAACTGGCCCCTGGACCTCGAATTAAAGGGTTCTGGTAAGATTGCCTCCGGAATGTCTGTGCCCTGCATAAATAACAATTCCGACTAGAATGCTGAGTGAATTATCCTGGCCTAGAGACTAATAAAATCGAAAGTGCATATGAGTCACCTCCTAAAAAAAGACATGCTGAAGGCCTACTTCAGTTGAAGTGCTCCAAGCAAACTAGGGGAAATAATAAACAGTGAAGATCTACTAATGAACAACTACCTAAGGAAGGCCGATTTAAATTAAGTTTAGTACCTTATGATGAGTATCCAAAAATCTCAAAAGCTTTGAGTAAAAAGCCTCGCAAATTGCCATGGATGGAGACTGATCAGGACTTGTGCATTCTACAACATCCATTACAAGTATGATTTCCATATCAGCATACATGCATAGGCTTTTCTCATCATGTAGAAGTATCCTCTTAATCTGGATTGCTTCTGGAAACAAATGCTTCATTTGGGCCAAATGACTGTATGATAAATTCCTGCAATGCAGAAAGGTTATCACCCAACTGTAACAAACAAACGAATAAAAAATATTCCACACATATACTTTTGTTTTAGTTATTACCTTTTTGTGAGTATTTCCACCTGGGTGGCAATATTATTAAATGTAGCCATCCTCTTCCGCAGGCGTAGCAACTTTATAGAACTCTCCATTCTATTAAAAAGATTCAGTAAATCCTTGTGTCTGCCATTGTGAACAAGAAAGACAAGGTGAATAATCATGGCTAGGAAGCACACATATGCATGAGATATTGAGATGAAATTAAAAGAGGCTCACTTCTCAAGAAGTTCAATGCTTCTTGAAATATGAGACCGGCTCACACCAGGCGAAATACTGTCATTAAAGTCTTCATCATCTGTGTCACCCTCATCTTCCACGAACTGATTTGCAAATCTGTCTTTGTACCTCTCTGCAAGTAAATTCCTTGCCAGTGAACTCACAACAACCCCTTTGCTTCTAGATTCAAGCTTCTCTGGAGTGGGTGATTCAATTTTGCTTCCAGCATCTTCTGTGTCAACTTTCATCTTGTGCATAGTTGCAGGGCTACTTGAATCATCATCATTAGACATTTGCGGTAATCCTTTCTCAAGGTCAAGCTGAGTAGCATCCCCCTCACTCATTTTCAGGTCCCTACACTACAATAATGGGATTATAAGTAATATGCTCCAAACTAAATCAAACACAAATCCAATATTCATAGAAGTACATGGGTGAACTTAGCAAATATCAACTTCTATGGTCATAGACTCACAGTCATACGGTCTCATACCTCTATCCTCTAGTAACACCACCAAGGTATTTCACAACCATCTAATCACAATCACTCAATAAAAACTATTTACCAAAAACTATTTACCAAAAAAATCACAAATTCTCTACTCGTGGAAATATACATGAATTAGGACCAATCCGTGCAAGAAAAATCAAGGGGTTTTACATCCACCAGAATTTGGTGGCAAGAATGTGAGGTATGTAAAATTCTATGAAGGGAGCCTCAAAAAAATAAAACGGTGAACAGAGATACCTACAATCTAATATGGAGTTCGCTAAAAGAATGTGAAATTCTAACTATCAGTCTGTAAAAGTTAATACAGAAATCGGGTGGAAACAACTAGCGTAGTAACTAAAAAAATTGAGTGAACTGCTCACAAATTACGCCAAACCCTAGACATTAACCCACCAGGCCACCACATAGCACAACACAACAGCTGACCACACAAACCACCGCAACTCGAACTAACGCCTTGCGAATGCGGAGGCGAAACAAACACTCCGCCGGAGGGCGCGTGGGAGAGTGGCAGAAGAAAGGAAAGCATCGTAATAAAATTCCTAAAGCACAAGTAAACAGAAGACCAGATCTTCAAAGTTTACCCACAGCTAGAGCTCGTGGTGCGCTCGACGTCTCAGATCCGGAGGAGGTCCGAGGATGGGCGCTTCAGACGCAGGATTTCGCGGCGGGAGTCGGCCGGCGGCGGCGAGCGTGCGCCGTTGCTGAAGGGGCAAAAAAGAGAAGCGGAAATAAAGGAGGAACGGTGCGCTTCAAAAAAAAAGGCGGAGCAAAGCAAACGTTCCCCAACACGAGCCCAACGGCTATATTTCGGGCCCTTTTTATACGTCAGCGCTAACGAATCACATGGGCCGCTCCTTGCTTCACGCTTTCAGCCCACTTGTTCGTTCGGTTGCTTCACAGAGCTGGCCCGTTCCGACCCATGAACCTCTAGCTAGCTGGTTTCCCTGCCCTCTTCATCTGCACAAATATTTTGTTCTCGTTTCTAAAAAAAAAATGTTCTACAATTCAACTCACTAACATTTTCCTGTTCATACAGAATAGGGATTATATCACAAGGGTAGTGGACCCATGCTAGACTAGGAACTGTAGTATTTTATTTTTGGTTCATCACAATTTATTATACCCGGTGTTTTTTGTGCTAACTAATGGCCTTGAATTCAGGTTTTCTTTTTTTTACCCCAACCACATAATCAGTATCTTACAGAATACTCCCTCCGTCTCAAATTATTAGTCATTCCAAGAATTTTGGAAACTCAAAATATCTCAAGTTTGACCAAATTTATATGATAAGATAATAACATTTATGATGCCAACTAAGTATCATTAGATTATTCTTTAATTTTATTTTCGTAGTATACCTATTTGATGTCACAAATCTTAATATTTCTCTTCATAACTTTGGTCAAGCTTAAAATGCTTTGACTTTTCAAAATTTTTGAAATGACTTATAATTTAGAATGGAGGAAATACTTACCAATGCTTTGTGGGCCTGTAGCGTCGTCCCACAGTCCTTCAGCGTTCAGCGCGAATGATGGATCTTTTTTTAAAAAAAAAACTTTAATGATGGATCTTCCAACCAGATAACCACAACGAAGCTTGCGATGAAGAACAGGAGTGCTTTGGCTACATGTGACCATTGGCGCGTGCCCACATTGACTGCTAACATGGGTTTCGTATGGGTTGTTACACTTTGCTAACCATGCCAAAAGGGTCTCTAGTTGATTAGGTGGCTTCGGCGGCACCCCTTAGGTTCTGAGTTTGATTCCCCTTTGGAGCTAATTTTAGGTTTGAGGGTAAAAAAAATCATCTCGTCTATCCCACATCAAAGTACAGGTCCGTGATCGTCCCGTTTGCTAACTATGGAGTGCAGGCCCAGGGCATTGACATCAAAGTACATGTCTGTGGTCGTCCCGTCTCATGGAGATGCGGTGCCGTTGTATATGGATGGGGCCAAAGTTCAGGGATTTTCTCGGTGCCGCTGTAATGGTTGGGGCTAGAGTTCGAGGATTTTCTCAATCTGCGTGAGAATTTCTTCTTCTTAGTGATACCCCCACGGATTGAGTTTTTTGCTCTGCTAACCATGGAGTGCAGACCTGGGGCATTGACTGGTCCGAGACAGACGGGTAGGCCATAACTGATTTTGAAGTGTTTGAGATCTTTTTTTTTCCTCGACCGTACCGCAAGGTACGTAATTCATGTTTGAGATCCTAGATTTGTAATTCTGCCCCTTATCCACTGGAGTTTATTGGAGTGAAAATGGTGTGTTCATTTATCGTATATGACGTTTTGAGCTACTTTTGGTTTATCTATCTAGCGAGTAAGAGAGTAAGATGGATTTTCCTGTTTGCTTGGTCGTAAACGATCGTAAATTTCCAGCCAGAAACAGTGTTTTTCTCTCACACCAAATCAGCCAGCAGTAAATAATCCACGATCCAATACGGTCTCCCGAACAGGCTGTTTATTTTCACGCAAAAACTAGGACCAGCACGCATATCAAATACAATAGATTGTTCTCAACAACCCTGAGCTAGTAGCTGTTATAAACTGTACATAAACACCGAACAGTGCGGAGCTACAGGGTATGCCGGGTATGCACCGGCATACCCTGCGATTCTGGCAAGTAAGAACGTATATATATGTATTTATGTATATAAAAAAAAGAAAAAACACTCCTCTGCTGCATATCTGAGAGCTGAGGCCGAGCGTGCCAGCGTTGAGCATGAGCAAGAGGCAGGCCACGAGCGAGCATCAGGCCCACGCGGGCATGTGGCCCATGTGGCCAGCGACGGAGACGCCAATAGCCTAATACGGATTGAGGCAGCGCCGCCGTATACTTCGAGTCTTATACGCTAGACGGTTTATCTAATCATCTTCATCACGATTCACGCATCCTGCATGGCTGCGTGCCTGGATCACTCACGCCGTCTGCCGCCGTCGACTGTTGCCCGCGGCCCATCATTGTCCAGTCTTCCTCGTGACCTCGTCCCGTTCACCGTTCGGCACTTCGGCCTTTGCCCTGCCCTACGACCGCACCAGCATTTGTGGTCAGAATTGTTGAGCCATTCATGTGGGATTCAATCCTTGTTTTCGGCTTTTTATAAAAAATTCATATGTACTTTAATTGCTAATTGCTTAGCGCTAAAATCATAAAATCATCCATCACGCAGCAAGGTCGAGGATTTATCCCAACATTAGAGTCGATAAAGATTGATCTTTTGTTCAGTACTCGTATCATGTGAGTGATATATAATTGCATGTGAGTGTTCAATCGTGCAAGCGCAATTTATTTAATTATTTGGCATTGTGTTCTTTGTAATATTTATGCAGTTATGGAGAGAAATGGGGATATTGCATCTCTTTTTCAGAAGCATGAAGCAAAGAAAAAGGCAGCGGCAGCTGCTGTTATTTCTAGTCGCTCAAACTTGAATTGCAGCTACATAATTATATTGATGACATGAGACAGGATGATAGCTTCAAAGATCTAGGCAATATTGTTGATCTCTCAGTTAAGTTTGTTGAAACAAAGAGGTACAAAGTATATGATATGGTTTATGAGCTCCTCAAATTGGTATTGCCTCTACCTGTGGCAATAACAAGTGTTGAAAGGATATTTTCTGCAATGATTATTGTGAAAACAAAGTTAAGAAATAAGATGGAAGATAGTCTTTTTGATGATCGTTGTCTAGTCATCTTGATTGAGCGCAGTGGCGGATCCAAAAAAAATATATAGGGGGGCTAGATTGAAGAGAGCAAGACCAACTTATAACTCAATTATGTCCCATACATAACTAACATATAGCAGTTTTAAACATTTTATAACATGATAACTTTGATAAACAATTGAAAGTGCATCATATTTCGCAAGAAGTAAAAAAAATACAATTGAAAACGGCAAACGGGGAAAGGAGAAAGGCCCACGGCCCACTTGGCCTATTGACGTTACTGCTTTACTGGGCCTATTTGGGTGGGGAAAACAAAGAGATGGAGAAACAGCCGATGCGTCGTCTTTAACCTCCGTTGACCTCTCGGGTGTTTCCGGTCTCCAGCCCTTCCTTTCCTTCCTCCATTGCTAGTCCACTGTCCAAAAATTCTTGGTGGCTAAGGGGGGGCTCCACAGGCGCGGCCACGGTGGGGGGGCTTGAGCCCACCAGCTCCGGTGGCAGATCCGCCACTGATTGAGCGGGATATTTTCTTTGAAGTTGATGAAGATGATATATCAAGACATTTATGTCCCTTCGAAAGCGTCGAATAAAATAGTCACAAGAATAGCATTGTAAGTCTTCGGTTCTCTTTTATGCCTTATTTCAATTATCAATATGGCTTTTGAACTATTTATACTATACTTAGGGGATGGTTTGAACTTAATCCATGAATTGAAGCCTTATTATGTTATTTAGTCCATATATATCGAATCATGTTGTCAATTTTATAATTATTACCGAATTGCTGAAATGGATTTACCGAATTGTATATGAATTTTTTTGGGCGGTATACCCTTAGACAAAATCCTAGATTCGCCACTGACACCGAATAAATGGTTTCACAGACGGTCCTCTGAGGCCTGGGCAGTGCTCAAAAACTAGAATCCTCTTCTGAAGCCCATCGACCGAATCGTGTTCAGAAAAGGACGACACAAACTAGTAGGATCTCCCAGAGTGAATCAAGCTACCAGCTCCCATGAAAAGCCCGAAAGCTACAGCAGTGCTGACAGTGGCTCGTCCAATGTATCTGATCTTTAGCAACCCAGGGATCTGTGGAACAGACTAAGACTGATTAGCACTCACAAGAAAAAAAAGAATCTAAACTGTATTTTAGATATGTTTTGTCCTGTTAGTTAAAGTAGCAAAGCTACATTGTGCCATGGGTTTGATAATAAAACAAGTCTCCACTAAGTTCAATTAAATGGATAATAAAGATTGTCTTAGGCCTTGATTGGATGCATGTGTATCAACTTCAATCTACATGTG